AATGGTGGTCAGTGAAGATATCTCTCGGACAATGAAGATTGAGACGATGAAATGTTCCCTGAATTCTCATGAACAGTTGAGACGTTGATGGATGAATGGTTAAGACGTTTCATAGGCTCTTCTTTGTCTGTCAGCTGTTGTTGAGACCTCTCAGACTCTTTTATATGATGTGTGATTCTTTTCTTCTTTTCTCATAATGTGAATTTACATAACCCTGCTATGTAGACTTTCAAGGGTATAGGATATCGTTAGGAGTCTATCGACAATAATTAGGGGGTTAGCATCAGGTTGCTTTTCAACTCATCATACAAAACAATATATTATTCAAAACTTCAATAGGTTGTACAACATTAAATGTGGTACCATAGAATATATAGTTTTCAGTTCTGATTAGTTAATGTAAAATCCATTGGTAATTCGTGGGAACCCTAGCTCCTCAGTTGCCACTTTTCAACTTGACAACTTGCCCAGTTGCACCTTATTTCACTCGTGAGGGCATTGAACCTACATAACACTTCTAACCCAAATGTACATTTAAATCGGTTCTTCACCTAAATGATTCCTTTTGATTACCTATAAGGTGAATGGTTTATTGATCGAGCAATTTGCTAATGAAGCAAAGATTCGTTTGATAAAATCTCCGCCTGATTTCGTCAGGGAAATTATATTAGCTCGTTTGCGTCTCAAAACTTGTCTTCCGCGATGGAAATTTAGTAAGAGTGATTTTTTAAAAATGAATTCCAACTGACCACTTTTACTAATTTACTACAAACTAAATTATAATCGTCGGTTTTAATTAAGGGTTTTGCAGGAAATAATTCTGGAAAGTAAACACCCCTCAATGGTTGATGGATATGTGACTTAACAATAAAAAATACTTTTTTTACGTTTTATATTTATCATCATGCTCCGTCACAAAATACCTATTTTTCAAGTGAACGAAGTTTATTCGTAATTTACCAACATGTGGGCAGTCGTGTATACTTAAATAGGTTTCCATTCTCTTTTGTGTTTGTTTCAGTAGCATTACATCTCATATTAATATTTTATCATGAATTACATTTCCTAAGAGTGATGTCATTGAACATTATCTTTCTTTGCACACATTTCTATAAACAATCAATAAGAAACGTATTCTAGATGTTTGGCAACGTAGTATACAAGTTCTACCGATAAATAATACATGAATATAATAACCGATCAGTCATTTATGTGCTTAAACATACTATTTACTACATTTATGTGCATCGATACTAAAAATTCATTAGTATGTCCGCGTGTATTTTGTGACAATGTAGTTTTAATTTATATTATAAACATCAGGTGAATAAATAATTACATAAAAGATAGATTCAAGGGGGAAAATCCTCATTTACATTTTTGTTTGTAAAATTGTACAACCAAATAATACAATTTATTACTTGATATTTAGACCTTGCATGACTATTTGTTAGATTATAAAATAAGTTTAAATACATATGCACTCTCCCAATGAAATTGCCCTAGTAAAGTCACGGAAATGTATTTGTTTTACAAATAATTATTGGAAAGATTAGGGAAGTAGCGAGGATAGATTTGATTTCCTGACGTTTCATATGTAAGAGATATTCAGGATCCCTACGATAAAAGGATCTGCATGAATTTGATTAGGATTTCCCAGCGATTCTGGAAAAATGTAAATAAGAGAGACATTCTTTACACCGTTACATATTTTGCCTAACTTTGTTGCTTACTATATCGCAACACTTAAATTGAAACAATACAAATACAATATTTCTATCTTAGTTCATTTTCTACACATTTACAAACTAAATCCCTCTATTTCTATCGTTATCTTGAGTTTAAGATCATATTTATCAATAATATTAATACTATGGGAAAGTTGGCATATAAGACTGGTTGGCAAAAGCTACAACAAATTCTAATGTTATCTTTTAATATGTAATATGATTGCAAAGTTAAATATATGCATAGCATTATTTAAAATCCATTATAGTTACACGGTTATTGAAATACAATAATACCCACTGAAGTTTATTTAACCTATCCAATTCGACAAGAATAAGATTCTTTAACTATCATAGCTGCATTAAGTTTCAACTATTTGTAAAATATTTCTTTACAATGTATAGTAAAATTCTTTCAAGATAAATTGATGACATCAACAATTACAAACAACTAAAAAGGATCTGCTTAGTTTGTGGTAAAAGACTACTTTTAAATATTATGTGGTTTGCAAAAAAAGTATCAAAAATATTAAGTCAAAGTAAAATTCCTCAAAGTAAAAGTTTCACAACATTTGACTTATCGTTTGTACTCCAGTATATTCCATTTCACTTAGAGTTATTGAATAAAGTGGGCAGAGATGGAGAAAAATGTACGTTAAAACCGTTGTTGTGTGAGTTTCATTGGAATATTATATAAAATAAAGCAACTGATATCCACTAATTATGTGTACATTTGGAAGAAACCACTATCGAAACATGACCCTAAACATTGTTAACCATTGGTGTACAACAGTTAATTTGGTAATAAATACATTTAGGGTGTTGAGTGACCAGAAATCATTAGGCTCAGCTATTTATGTCTATAAACCAGATAATGTCCCATAAAAGAACTGGGTAATGACTTTTTCATAACTTTACGGGTTTCAGATGGATCATAATTTGTTACAACTCGGTTTGAATGCTGGGTTAACATTGTAACATTGCAGTGTTGTACCATTGTAACAATGTAATGTGAAAACTTGTTTGGGTTTGTTTGGTCTCTTTATAACTGAACTTCATCATACATTGGGAAGTAGTGGATATACATTATTTAATAGTGATGTTAAAACTTAAGGGTAAAAATTACCAATTTAGTTTTTTTAACAATGAAAAAAATTATACAATCCATACTCAATGGCATCTTTCGGTTTTCATACTTTATGTTTCATTACTAACTTACCTTGAAATAGTTCAAATTAATATTTTATACAAGAATGTTGTTACAACGTAGTCCTAGTGAAATTCGTGGGACTGGGACTACAGTAACTTTTTGTATAATAAATCTGATACAATTTCGAGTTAAAGTTGAAAACAACTGGAATTCAAATGAGTTCCCAATTTGTCGTTTTAATATATTTTGATACAAATTGCAGTAAATAGTATAGGAAAAATCACAATGGCAAAATATATACTTAGTTGGCTCTAATTTTATATTTAAATTTTAAAATTAAAAAATTTAAATTTTAAAATCTTTTTCTTTAATTTTAAAATTTTTAAAATTTGTATATTCAATATCACGTTATATGTTTTGCAAAGCTTGAATATTATTATAATCCTACTTGCAGGAAAATATCTGTGTTGTTGAAAATTAACATTAAATCTATTCATCACTCATCATTCAACATGATTAAAAAAAAAAATAGTTTTAGCAAATTTCCTAAATTTTTAAATTTTCAAATAAAATAGTTTTGATATTTTTACGGAGAATAAATAAATATATAATATAAACTGTTTAGGTATACATCTTTATGAAATTGTCATATTTGTTTATTTTAAGCTAAACTATCAACATTTCAATAAAAAAACTCACTTTTCAACTTTCCTGTAGCAGCAGACCTAAGTACTAATTAAATTCAATAGGTAATAAATCCGACAATTAAGGGAATATTTTAGTGATAATCCAACTAAGTAAAAGAAAATCGCTTAGTATATGTAGGTTTGCTGTAGCGGGGGTATTTTTCTTTCTGAGTTAAAGCATTGGGTCAAAGAAAACAACAAAAGCTTACATCGCAAATAATAAATAGCTTGACTGTTGATACACACAACTACCCTTGCTCGCGTGGAGTGATACAAATATTTGTCACCGGGAAAGCTAATACAAATATTGGTTACCATGTGTTTGCCTCTATATTGCCAGATGTCAATGAACGATGATCATATGAGTGGTCATATAATGCTGGCAATGCGATCGTATTCCTTTAATAGTTTTAGAGTATTAATTTTACAGAAAAATCATTACAACAATAGTAGTTTTGGGTGGAGTTAAAGTGGTAAAAGTGATCCAAAGGTCTATTTAAACAAATTTAAAATTACATTAATTGCCTTTTAAGGTCGTAATTGCTTTTTAAAGGAACTTTCCATATACCTAATGTTGACAAAAAACCCAACTGTACTTATTTGTTTGTTATTCTTTCAATTTATTAGCTTATTAAAATCAGGTGAGATTATTTGTTTCTATTACTGTATTCTGTTCTATTTATTTCAGCTTAACTTAACTAATCACTAACAGTCAATCTATCGATAGTTTTATTAATACTTATGATGTCAAACGGGGTGAAGCCCTTGGGTAACAGCTAGTTATTGTAGTTGGTAATGTGGGATATTAGATGGAAATAAGATCCTTATCAAAGTATACTGTAATTGACTCTAATTTTATATTTAGACACAACCTCCGTTGACCACCTAAATGCATTCTTCAAAACCTTATCGTGTTAGGCTACATGTTAAAATACAAATTGTTCAAAAACACTATTGATTATTGACTCCGAGGTATTTTTTGTTAACGAAGTAAGCCAATATTTTGCAGATATAGGTCCTGGATTTATGATATTAAGCGACACTCTATGGTTAATACACAAAATGACAAAATAGAGCTTTCATTGAAGAAACTATCTAAATAGTGATGAAAAATATAAAGTCCAAAGCAGTAGGCTGTGATGAAATCTCTATCGATACGGTTAGAGCTGTAAGTTTGTTTATAATTATAGCAATATTAATTTACAATGGTCTACCCGATGACAAACCTTAGGAATATATATTTTATGAAATGTTTAGGGGTAGACAAAATTCTAACGGATAGTTTAGTAAAATAGGATATGTATAGTGAAAAAAGTTGTTATAAAAAGCTGGAATACCAGAAAAACTCTTACACACTTTTATTTTTTATTCATTTTAAAAGAGCTTAGATACAAACATGGTTGGTTTTAGCCTTGTCAGAGTTTGTTTTTGTTGCAGAAAGAGCTGTTATGGCCGGTGGTGTTTCTGTGGTGTGGAGTGTGTGTGAGCGTAGCTGCCGACTGGGAGAGGCCTGGCTGTCATAAAGTAGGTAAGGGAAAAACTCATTCAATGCTACTTAGCAATCGTAATGTGATTACTATTAGTAGATCGTCTGATTAGGGAAGGAAAAGTGAATTTTGCTTGCGTATTACCAAGGAAGTCAGGTTAATTGTAAGAAAGGGCCATTTAGCCCTAACGTTGCCTAAATAAAGGATTTTTTCAAGAAAAGCCCCTGTTACTCTTTTAGTATCCATTTTTAAATTCGATTTCTTATTTCGTCTTCCCACTAAAATAACTTAATTAGTATGAAAATAGAGCGATTTTTTTGTGTATTCTAACTTATTTCACTTTAGGCATTGGCTTTGATAATATTAATATTTAAGCCATTTTGGGCCATTAATGGGTAGTAAAATGGTTAAACTACTCACCTTTAGATACGAATGTCTACATTTAGATAGTGAGGTGGAACTGAAGTTCTTTTTTATCATCAAAACGTTATTTACCCATCCCTTATCATTAACCATTCATATATAAACATGGTATATCATCTACTGATTTCAATGGTGGACATAATAGAGGTATCTCGATAATCTACTACACCTATACACAACCTCTGCTAAACCTTTTAGTGTATTTGTGACACAATAAGTTTAAATCAACCTCCCAATTCTTAATACCACTATAAAATACCACTCACTTATCTGTTGTAGGTCACACAAGAAGGATCAACATCCCCGAGTGTGTAGAGTTCTCGATGACGACGAACGCTTGTCGAGGTTTCTGCGAGTCGTGGAGCATCCCTTCTTCTCTGGAAACTGCACTGGTCAACCCCCATCAGCCAATCACAAGCATCGGTCAATGTTGCAACATCATGGACACTGAGGACGTGAGTATGTGACCGAGGGAACGGTCCAAACCTTACGATGTTTGTGGACATGGTAGTGATCATACATGTCACTTTTGGGCTGAAGACCGAGAAGCTCAATAGGCTTGCAATATACCCCTATTATTGTCACACCTCAAAGTATAGACATAGAAATCATCTACTTTAATCCCATTGTTGACAATGTTCACCAACATTTAGTATTTTTCCTATATAGGTCTTGGACCTGAATTATTTTCCACATTACTCCAAGCTAGGCTTAATTATTGGGGTTTTGGCATTATCGGTTGGATATCCATTGATGATTGGTGGGATTTGAACCCGGGACTTCGGGGACTTAAGTCCCGCGCTCTCCTACTAGACCAGCGTGTTCCCCTAGAGTGAACACTAGAGTTGACAATTTGATTTGGTTAAGTTGAGATCAGTTGTTAGCCAAGCTCCAAAACAAACCGGTATAAGTGTAAATCAAACCAATAAAGATGCTGTTAGTTCAGGGGAAAACGTGTACGAGGCATGTAACAATAGTTTTTCAGGTGAAAAAATATCATAACGTTTAAGAACTTGCTAAACATAAGCCATTTTTGTATGCCTAAATCGAACTGTTACTTATAATAGAATTGTGTTAAGACCTTTACTAAATAACTTCTTGATCAGCATTGTACGTGTTATTAAATTTACGGAAAGTATAATAAATAAAACGTCTTATAACACTTAAAACATATATTTACGCTTATACTGTTCAATATGTATGAGGCAAATCATTCACCTATTGGGTCTGATAATGATTGGAGTGTCCAATCGAAATCGATCACCACTTACCATCTTTTTTTGTATATTTACCGTCTTGTGAGTAACAGTATAAGCGTAAATATATGTTTTAAGTGTTATGAGAAATTTCTTTTATTTACTTTCTGGACCTTTATTAAACTTAATCACTACATTTATTATTGTATTATTTTAATTTTTTTAATTATTATTTTTGTTTTATTTATTTTATTGTATTAATATTATTATTGTAGTTATATTTACTACATGTATTCGTACTAGTTATTATTTTTGTTAATTAAATTTCGCATATTATATTTTTTGTTATAATTTTATTAAGTTATATGTTATTTATTAGAAGTAGGGTTGAACTATAAACGTATGTATCAAGTTTTATTTAATGTTTTATTGTAATTTTTTAAGCAAGAGCCATACTCAGATCCTCAAGCAATATGATAATGTTCCAGAAATTACTGCATGATCAAATACATTTTAATCTCTTTTACCTTACGTAAACAATTCTCATATTTGTAGGATTTGTTTGCATTGCAGTCTTAAATAGTTTACACACTTTTCGTTTATTCCAAATATCCAGCAAGACTTCGAAAACCACATTCCTAAAGTAGCAATATAAACCCTTAAGAAAACCCTTTGGTTGTTCAGCCCTTAAGAAAATGTTATAAGTCTTCTCATGTGTTACAAGATGAAAAGCTGGAAACGATTTCGGCATCTTTAGTCTCAGATAACACTGAGATCGGTTCAAGTGATATTACTGTCAATCACCCTTTCCGGATGCATAGTAAATACCCATCTACTTTTCAAATATACATTTATGATACTGTATTGTTGTATTTAGAAAACGTTTCTATGAAATTAATGATTGTCAACGCAGTACGCATTTTATCAGTAGGGTATATTTCTGTCTTTTACTGAGGTAGATTCTAAAAGATGTGTTTTAAGTAGAAGAAGTTTACAAAATAAATTGTTGAGGCCAATTATTTTTTAAAATGTGAGAAATTATTGTACAGTGAATCAAACAATGATAGATTTCGTACTTAAAATGCAACAAGACTGCAAAAGCAGGCTAATACAGTAAGAGCTCAGCTTATTGTAATACCTCACAATAAGGTACAATTATTTATTAGTATGATTACTAGTTCTTTATTTACCAGATAATGCAATGAAATTGTTTATTTATTGAGGCAAACATTAATACCACCCTCTTCATCCTACAAACTTCATACCCTTTATCAGCAGTACATAGCATATGTTTACCTCCTACTGTGGTAGATTTTACAACATTTTTATAAGGCAGGAGAAGTTTACAAAACGAAATTTCTAATGACATATGTTTTTCTAACTATAGAAATTATACTGTTCACACAATAGGTTACTCACACTAAATAAAACGAACCGCAAAAAGAGATCAATAACAAAACAGGAAAATAATGCTCGTATGAAAATCTTTTAAGATGTTTTTATATTTATTAATCAGGAGGACAATTTGTTCAACTATAACAAAAACACCTATTCGACGAAATCAACAGGTTATGAACACAATAACTAACTATGAAGATTGCAGCTGTTTGTTAAGATAGACCAAAGATGTAACGTAAAAAGTAGAAGTGTGTTCTCGTTAAAACCACAAGAATGACTCTCATTAGCACATCATGAATCACCTTCGTCGGGCCTCTCACGTTTCTAGCTTGTGGAATATTATACGATTTCCCTTGAATGAGAAAATGGAAGAAAGAAAAACAAGTATAACAATGAAAAGGGACAAATTTGAGATTGCTTGCTGGTTTGTATTTAAATAAGTGTTAAATCAGTAATTTCTTAATTTGTTCTCATTTCGTAATTTCTCATTTTAATCATGAGTTAGAGTAATAGACCAAATCGGTGAAACGGGTATAAAAGTCACATTTAAATAGAGTTAAATATTTTTTTCAGTCATGTTAATAATTTATACAGTTATTGTTGTTGTTTAGTTTATAAATCTAAGTGTATGAAGGTTGTTCGTAATGTTGTCAATGTAATATATTTTGTTCTTCACCATTAAGATGAAAAAATATAGGTCATAGTAAAAATTAATTGTGTTTTGCTATGAAACATAAATGAATATGAAAAATAAATGAAACATCATAAATTCTTTTACAGTTCTACTAAACAAGGTGTAATAAATAGTTGTAAAAAAAACTGTATGAGACCAATAAGTTCTTTATTAAAAGGATACGTGTTATACGTGGTTTCAAAAATTCCAAAACCAATATATATTTACAATTATGAATGGATATTTAGGTATGATCAATATATCTGTAGTGCTAGTTTTTTGGTTATACAATCGATAAACTTGAGACCCACTAGGTAAATAATAAGAATCGTATAGCTCAGCGAAATAATATTGGCTTCATCATTGGATTGAAGTGTCCAAAAGTGCTACAAGTCTAAAATGACATTTTCTTGTAATAACATTTTCCATTTTTACAGGTGATTACATAGATTTTAAATCATCTACATTTTCCTGGGCAAAATAAACAAAAAATACCAAACATCACAAACAGAATGTGAAATATTCTAAATTATTGTAGACTAATGGGTGGTGTTGTCTGCGTATCTACATTCCAGAAGAAACGAAGTTGTAGTTTTTCTAACCAGGAGCACTCTTTCACAGAAGGATTTACTATTTTATCACAGGATCTGAGAGCATACTGTAAATCAATTTTAAAAACTGAAGAAAAAATTAAGAAATTAAAAGAAAATCTCTAGACGATGGAAAAATATTTATTTATCAAAACCAAGAAGCTAGGTGTGATTATTTGCAACTTAATGATAATCATCGTTCACTATTCGCCACAAAAGTTCCTTTTTGGGCTGATTACTACAATTAAATGTTTTAACAATTTATTGTATTTTTTCAGGTTGAGGTGACAGTCATGTGTCTGGATGGACCTCGAGATTTGGTGTTTAAATCTGCGACGAGCTGTTCTTGTTTCCACTGCAAGAAAGACTGAGATCCCGCTCCATACGTCTCCTCTCTTCACGTTATTCAATTTCTATCAAACCTGTAAAAACTGAATTGAAAACAAATAAATAAACAAATTGCTAATTAAAAATCATTCTGTGTCTGAATACGGGGTTTCTGTAGCGTTGTCAAGAATTAAATCGAATTTTATTCTACTCAGTGTAAAATACAACGTACAGTTACAAGTACTTCTAAAAACAAAATATTGACTTTTTATTTTAAAATAAAACGTGTGCTTACAAATATTTAAAAAAAATTTCAACTTCATATTTTGAAGATATTTTTGAATTTTGGCGCATTTAAGAGCTGCTTGCTTTACAAACGTTCTGCGTACCGATTATAAAAGCTAATTTAATGTAGAATATTTTACCAGTTTCTTGGAATAAAATATTATTTATCAAATATATGAATTTAAAAAAATTGTGTTAAATTTTTTTTGCAGAGAAGATTCAAAAAACAAATTTTACTATGATAAAAATGTATACCGTTTTTAAACAACTCGACCTACTTGGATAGTGTCCATGGAATTGTTATAAATTACTACACCGTTAAAACTAAGCTCACTAAACGTTGATTTCACTTTTTTGGCTTTTATATTGCTTTTATTTTTGTACTACTTAATTAAAAAAATGTTTTTTGTACAAATTTTTTGATTTTACCGAGATAACAACATTTAAAAGAATTAAGAATTGTCCTACCTCTACTTTATTACTGTTAAAAAGTAAATTAACCATACTACACACATGATATGCTTAAGATAAGATTAAATGTTTTTATATTTATTTTATATATGTAAATATTTGTTAATCAGTGGAAATAAGGTCCTATGCTGTTTTCTATAAGATGCATGCTATAAAGATATTTTGTGCTCGATTACCTACATATTAAAACTATTATTATAATATTGACGTGATGAATTATTAAGCATATCGTATATACATCCGGGAATACAAAAACAAAAAATACTGGTACTCTTTACATCACTAATAAAATTTGTACTTTCAATTTTGATGTACGTAACCACACTTTTTTCGTTTTTTTTCACGTTTTAATTGAAATCGTAGTTTTTTTTTAAATTTTACACATTGTTGTACGTGAAACTGTACACACAACTTTTAATGATTAATTCAATCATTAAATTAAATTAATGATGAATACAGTAAGTTAATGGATATATTTGTTCCAAAATGTTTAATCATTAATTTTTGTTATCTAAAAGCTAAGAAAATTAAATTGGCATATTATTCGTATGCATTATCTGCGTTAGTATATCTCTGCTATGCAGCCTTTGTTTGAGAATTAATATTCAAAGTATTCCTGGATTTCAAAACAATATTTCTTGTTTGTTTAAATTTACTGTTATTTATTGCTACCTAGTTGTGATAATGTGTGATTAATCTAACAAAGTTTTAATATGTTATCTGTTGCAATGTATATTTTATCAGTGCCATATTCATTTATTTTGAAATAAAGTATATTTTTTAATGACGCACCTTTGAATAGAAATTACCTTTTGCAAATTGGTTTTATTATATACGTTTGGTATATTGTGTTTTTAAAAAGATATACCTTTGATTATGCTGATTGGAAAACAGCTGGGAGTCGGGAATTTGCATTTATACATTGTGTTCTGAATAAATACGTGTTCATATTACATATGAATTTCAAATGGAGTAGTCAAGCATATAAGATGTGTAAATGCGCATTTACGTAGGCAAATGTGCTTTTAGGCAGAGCTGTATAAGCATCATAATGCTTCGGCTCCACCTTAGTTTCAATGTGTTTATTTCCATCTAACGACACGTTTACATAAATAAAGTGGAAAGACTTTACTACAATTCATTAAATATAGTATTTGAGAAAAAAACAAATCCACTTTAGAAATTAAAATAATAATTAAAAATATGGCTGTAAAAAAACGTAGGTTTTCTACATTTAAAGCAATCCCTCTACTATAGTACATTTTTAATATTTTTTATATCACTCAGTACTGAAAGTAGCTATTTTCGATGCCAGCTGATATCAAAGAAAGTAATCGTTTTCCAAGCTCAAAATTTACTTTCCTTTGGTATCAATTAAATCTCCATTTGCCCACAACGTGCACTAGTGGTTCTTTACCATTTTTTTATATAATTAAAATCACCTATTTTCATCGTTGACAAATTTAACTGCAAACAGAAATGTGTATACGTATATTTTTTTGTACTAAAAGTGAATTTCCGGCATTCGCTTCAACTAATCCTGTTTTGGTCTTCGCCTCGCACGTAAAATTTAGTGTTTCTGTGTTTGACTCTGTGTCACTTAAATTAAACATAAGCGGGCACTGGAAAATGCCACTTCCGGTACTCGTAATAAAATATATTCATTTACGCCTGACTAAAAGATAATTCGGTTAGTAGTTGAATTATTTTTGTTAGGATGAAAGTCGTTGTATTTATTTCTCGAGCAATTGCTAAATTATTTTGTGAGAGAACGGTCCAAACCCCAGACTTGTTACTAACTAATGTTGACCTTTTGATAGCATCATTTATTGATAGCCCAATGTAATGTCATCTGGCTCCAGAATCAACCCCTCTTGGTATTGAACCAGCGAACTTCAGACTTAAAGGCGAGCACAATCAACATTGACTATACAGCCAATTTTAAAGACTAATTAATATAAAGCTTTCATTGATCTTGTTACATTCTGAAGTACCTTTTGTATATTTCGAAGCAAGGCTAAGTAAAGCAACGAATAGAGTAGGTGACTGTTTGATTATGCAAATTATTCTTCAAGTAAATTGTTGTCAAGATATCATCGTTATCCAGGAATACGCAATTTTGGACATTGTTATACCCTACTTCAACAACGTAGGTAGTTATTTTAACACGGTAAAAGATTAACGGTACTCATTCTATTTCTTTCATTATAATTCACAATCCAACAGAAAGTTAATAAGTTACATCAAAACCATTGATTTTTGATTAGTTATCATTTGATGCACTAAATTCAAGAATGTTATTATAAAACCACAATTTCGATGGTTTCTGGAAAACAATGAAAACTTTTCACAGGCGTTGATAGAAAGAGAATACAGTAGGCCTAAAGAAACGATCCTAAAACACTAGTTATGGTTATTCAGTAAAAACGTTGGCCGTTGATAAAAGTCAGTTGTGTAAAAAAGATGCACTACGTCACTAGACTTTGGTGATAGTAAAATTTAAATACCACACGATTTAAAAGAATTTTAATGAAAAAAAAGTAGGAAAGATTTCACAGTTTATGTTTACCAGTTCCTACGTGATATAATTATTATTTTACAAATATTTGTGCCATCTGGCTTGCAATGCTAATAATACTAAACGATAAAATTGTGTGTTTAATACGTTCAATGAAATGTCACTATAATTAGGAAAACTACGTTTTTATTTGGAATCAAACTATAAGCCTACTTTTTGACAAAAATAATGTTAAATTACCAAACATTTACAAGTGACCGGAAATTGAAAGTTTACTAGTTACAAGTTTGCCCTACTTACATGCAACTGACGGCTGTGAAAGACAGCTATTGTTAACATGGACTGAATCAGTATGACCAACCAACAATAAATAAAGACACTGATTGAATACAAAAATTATTTTATAATTAATTAAAATAAAAAATATACGTACAAGTGCAAAGTGAATAGAATGTCTTAAATATTATTTATGTTAAAATATTTATTTTATTGATTTGTTCAACAAACAAACTAAACAGTTTATATTACTAAAAAATAACTGAATCTAAATAGTTTTAAAATACTTCTAATTGAAGTATGTAGACTAATCGTGAAAACCACTAATTCAAACGGATTTTAGGTTGAAACAGTATTTTAGAATGCATCAATTCCAAAGCTAAACATTTTAAAAGCCTAAAATATTTATACTGAACTTCTTCATGTAATAAAAGTACATAGGACAATACAATTGCACTGTTTGCCTTTGCAAACTGTTCTGTGGAAATTTCAAGTGCTGTTTCGTAAATAGAGATTCCTACGATCCAACAGTAAGTAATAATACTTGCTCTTTGACCAAAACAGCGGAATGTCGTCGAGTGTACAAAGGCCTTAGGTATTATAGTTGAAATTCTTCATGATTATAGTTGAATTTTAGTCAATGAACATTGAAGTAAAACAACTTAGGTTGATAATATCTATAGTCTATCTATCCATCCATATACTTAATGAAAAAGGGGTTTCTGTAACACCCTTTTCACCCGTCGAACCTAACCGATTTATAATATTGAGGGCTAATTGGAAAGCTTATGGGTTAATAAGTTTAATTTATTAGAGGTATGACGAATGCTAATTAAGGCATATACTTTTATGTCTTCGCCTCCTAGTCTTTGTTTCATTTACGGAGAGACCTTTCGAAGGTATAATGCTGATGATACACTTTCTTTACAAAAGTTTTAAATGTGAAATAATCATAGTTCAACAACTAGTTACCTTCAATCGTTTGAAAAAATAGATTGTAACCAAGAGACGAAACAGTTTATGAAAATGTATGTTAAATATACTAATTTTAATAATTGAAACCTGGTTGGGTTACGTAAAATATATCCTTATAGATATAGATCCACAACAGACGTTTTAAAACATTAAAATTAGAAGTGTTATGTATATAATAGGTCTAATTGTCTCAAACAAAAATGCAGCTTTGTCGATTCTCCTATCATGATTGTTCCTAGGATTTTGAATAATTTAGCTTTGAAAGGTAAAAGAGCATTGAATTATTCGTCTCGCAGACGAATTTTGAACGCTATTAATTTGCGCAAATCTACACGGGTAACATTAATTAACATTAATTTTATATAGCTATTATGTTATATAGCTGATGTTATATATCATAATGTTATATAGCTATTATGTTAATAACTATTAACATTTATTTCTGTAGCCTCTGTATACGACCCTTGTGTGTATTAAAGATAGTTCATAAAATCGAATAATATTTATAGAACAGAGGCATATTGTAACATTTTTAGTTGTAGTTTGACAACATTATTAGGAACAAAATTAAATATTGAATTCACTCCCTCAGGATACCGAAACATTAGAATGGTTCAAGCAGTTTTATAAATATTTATTTCTTTTATAATTACAGTACATAATATATAAAAAATTCAGTAAGATTTAAAGGTTCTACTACCTAAGTCTTAATATAAGATTGAAAAATCATATGTATCCAACCGGTTGCATAAAAAACCTCATTAAGCAACTCAGATATGTTTTGGCTCTTCTACTCAAGCCCGCATAAGTAGTTTTTACTGACCCCTATACAGAAAATTTTAAAGTTAAACTAACCAATCAATTGTTGATACGTAAAACAATATGAACTTTACTAAAGTAAATATTACTTTTGAAAACCTGTTGCCTTGTGCCCACATACAACACTTAAAACGGTAGTAATAGTTGTTTATTTCAAAAAAGTTTATTATTTATGTGCCTTTTTAGCAGGAAAGTTTACTTAGCTTAAACGACGCTTTTGTCCTGGCATTCTTCTAGTGGCAAGTTACACTGCAAACCAATTAACTGCAAAATTGGTTAATCCTAAAGTAATCTAAGAGAAGCGAAGTAATCAGTAAATCTCCTTGAACACACTTAAATGCAATGACCAAAGCTTTTGGGTAGAATGGTCTTTCATAGGAAATTCATAGGGTTAGTTTGTTATTTAATTTCCTAATTGATTTAGTACTCGTCATAAAATAAATTATCAATCTAAACGTAAGGAACAATACATTGGGGAATGAAACAGAAAAAATCGAATGAACCTTAAGTGTTTTATATAACGATTTCTGCATGAATAATAATAAATTAGTGGTGAAAAATACATGGAGTAAATCCTGTCCATACATTAAAAAATTTGATTTTGTATCCATTTCCTACTTCTCAATATTCTAAGTACTAAAGCTATACACGACGGAGAAAAGAATGTATCGTACAGTTCTTACCGCTCAATTTACAAAATTATTTCAACTTTCATTTACATTTTGTCATTTCATTCTATTAAAAATACTCTACCAAACGAATTGTATACGTGTTTGCGGATTTCCCTTAGAATCTTTA